AAGAATCTCTTATGGTTTGCCTCCCTCCCTCTCTGTTTGAAACTGTTTTTTCCCCTTCCCTTCCCTTCCCCCACGGTCTTTGTTAAGTTTCGCAAGTTTCACGTAAGAGTGGAAACATGACTTCATCTGCATTTAAATGGTACACAGGGAAATCCTCTTCTGTCTCCCGTTAGTGATTTACCCCGACCACACCCCCACTACCAGGAGAGGCCCTGCTTGATTGCTCCTCGATATTCCCAGGGGATTCATGGCCCTTGGCTTGAGGGGCAAAGCCAAAGATCCCAGTGAAGGAGTCCTTACCCACAGAGGTGAACGTCACTTCTATGCTCTTACTGCCTCTGGCTCCGTGCTCGCTGATGAACTCACACACATAGGTGACCCTCATGCCACCCAGGCTGCTTGGACACTGTCTCCCGTTGGCCTTGAGGGTGTATCTGCTGCAGCCGGAATCTGTGTCTGTTTCAGGGTTTCCTGCAACGACACAAGCATTTTGTTTGTTCGTTTGTTTTGCTATCATCGCTGGGTGACTATTTGATTTAGGAGCAAAGAGGCCAAATCAGTGCCGAGGAGTTATTATTTAAGTCAGCTTTCTTCTTTTTGGAGAAGGAGGATTGTTACGATGGTGACCACTTACAAGCAGGGTAGTGTTGAGAAAGTCACTAGACTGCTCTGGGCAGAGAGAGAGAGAAGCAAGGTGTTTGGATATGATTTCAACGGCAAGGAAAAAATATGTCAGATTATTTAGACTATTATTGAAAGGAGAAAGAAGCCTGGAGCCTGTGATATTTGTCTCGTTGGAGAAATGTTTCATCGTGACGTGTACCCTCTTACGAGTCTGTATGTTTCCGTGGAAGTTGCAACTTCATGCTTTCTCAGGTTACCAGCTGTTTCCCCTTCAAAATACCTCCCCTGCCTGAGGCACCTGGGTGGCTCTGTTGGTTAAGCGTCTGACTTCAGCTCAGGTCACGATCTCATGGTTTGTGGGTTCGAGCCCTGTGTCCAGCTGACAGGTCGGAACCTGCTTCGGACTCCGTGTCTCCTCTCTCTGTCCCTCCCTGGTTTGCACTCTCTCTCTCTCAAATATAAATAAGCATTAAAAAAAAAATACCTCCTCTTTCACATTTTCCTTTCCGTTCCCAAGTTGCCATCCCCGCCATCTTTACTTCCTGTTAACGACTCTCTAACTCCCTCCCTCCTTCCATCCCTCTCCTCCAACCCTGCCTGCCACCACATCCTCATCAGGCTTCTTCAAATACTGTCCAATCTTCCAACAACCAAGGAAAACGATAAGCTTTCTGATAAGCTCCAGCATAAATGCATCTTTTCCAGCCTTGATTGGATGACCACTGATGTTTGAAATGCTCTGAATAATACATAACCAGCCTTCATCCCCAGTCCCCCAAATGTTTCGAACTCCAAATCGATCTCCATCTTCCCCCACTTGATTGGATGAGCTCCAGGCTCAGAGGCACAAGCGTCAGCTCTAAGGCTCACCTCTCCACTTGGCCCTTGAAAACCCACTTCTCCCAACTCTCCCAGGACCTCATCCTATCCTTTATCTTTTTCCCCCTCCCTTGTGACTTGAATTTTCCCTCCTGTTCTTTCACATCAACCAACAGATCTATGTAAGCCCACGATTCCTATTTTAGATTCTATATGTGGATGGCTCTCGACTCTATCTGTAAGAGAAACGCTCTTGTTGGAAACTCTAGAAACAGATTCCCAAGCATCGATTTCACATCTTAGGTACCTCCAACTCAACATGTTCAGTTAAGAGCTGACCTTTCTTCTCCTGGACAAAACCTGCACATATTCTGTTTCTTCTCTTGCCATTGGCAGCTCCCAGAATTAAAGGTCTTAAAGCCATCTTTAATTACTTGCATTTCCTCACATTCCACTCCCACTCACTTGTAAACATCTTCCGGCTTATTCCTCTGAAACATCTCAGAACTGTCTTACATACTCCAAACATGGTCACTTGCCCAGGCCCCATTTGCTGTTATCTGCCAATGACATCTGATTATAACTGGATCTCCATTTTCAGTTATTTGCCCCTTCAATCCATTGGCTACACTACCTTAAAATTGTTTTTCTTTTTTTTTTTTTAATTTTTTTAATGTTTATTTATTTTTGAGAGAGAGACAGACAGACCAGAGTAGGGGAGGGGCAGAGAGAGAGGGAGACTGAGAATCTGAAGCAGGCTCCAGGCTCTGAGCTGTCACCACAGAGCCCGATGCACGGCTCGAACTCACGGACCGCGAGATCATGACCTGAGCCGAAGCCAGACGCTTAAACGACTGAGCCCCCAGGCGCCCCCAGAGACAGGTTTGATTGTTACAACTGGGGGCGCTACTGGTATCTAGTGAGTGGCGGCCAAGGATGCTGATAAACACAGTACAATGCACAGAACAGCTCCCCTCAGCAAAGAATTATCCGGCCTCGAATGTCACGAGTGCCGAGGTTGAGAAATCCTGCGTCACGCAACCACACAAGATTTTCCTTGAAGAAAGATTCTACAGTTAACTCAGAAAACCACTGCTGTCAACCAAAAGCCCAAAAGCAGCTGCTTGCTATTCAGGGGGTGGGGAGGGGCAGGGAGAGACACAGCATTCGTGAGGCTGACACAAGTAGGTACAGAGAGAGCAGAGGCAAGGCTCCGAGGAGATGGTAAACCCAGAAAACACAAGCAGGACCTCTGACCAGCAGCCTTCATGCTGTGTTTCATCCAATACCCCGAGCTCTGCCCCTCAGGGTCCTGCTCGGAAGGTCCTGAATGCGGCCAGTAAGTCGGTGCTGGGTTTTCTGGAGAACCAATGGCGTCCAATTACAAGTTAGCATCTCAAGGCTAGCGGCCTCCCACCGAAGAATCCCACCGCACCGAGGAAAAGTGAGGGCACTTGGCTCAAGTTCTCCCTGTTTCTTGTACTCAATTCTGTGGGCGTTCCCACAAGCAGAGGAATCACTATTGAAAATCGGATTTGAGGGGCTCAGTCGGTTAAGCGTCCGACTTCGGCTCAGGTCATGATCTCACGGTTTGTGATTTTGAGCCCCACGTCGGGCTCTGTGCTGACAGCTCGGAGCCCGGAGCCTGCTTTGGACTCCGTGTCTCCCTCTCTCTCTCTCTGCCCCTCTCCTGCTCACGCTCTGTCTCTCTCTGTCTCAAAAATAAATTTTAAAAACATGAAAAAAAATAAGAATAAAATAAAATAAAATCGGATTTGTCCATGGCATCTGTAGGAACACAGAGAGAAACACAGAGGAGGAGAAAGAGTAGTTGCTGAGATGGGGCATCCCTTGCTACTCTTGGGAAGACACGGGGCAGCACACAGAAAGCCTCCGTTTCTCATGTGCAAAATGAGGAACTAGGCTAAAGACACGGTCCTCCCTCCCCTATGCCCAACAAAAGTTCCTGCAAAATTCAAGAAAATATGCCACTGCCTGGATCCCAAACCCAGAGATCCTGACACGATTGCTCTAGGGTAGAGCCCTGACAGCTGGTCTTTTTCATAGACACCTGGGGTGACCCCACGTGCAGAGGAACGGAGAACACAGCCACCCATGACGCTATCTGCTACTTCCAGCTGCTTCTCTACATAGGTCTTGCCTCAGACCCTGAAGCCAGCCTACCTCCAGTGGTACGTCATGAAGGGACTCCAAAGCCACAAGACTGATTTCTACTCAGTAAAGAAAAACAACCAGTCTCCCTTCTTTCTCTCTCACTGATGCCCTGTTTGGGTGCGAAAACAAAACAACACAAACAAAACACACAACCCCAAATAAAATCCATTTGGGGCAGCACACAAGCACACAGAATAATACATGCTTAAACATTTCAGCAGAGCAATCAGAAGAAAAGACACAAGAAAGGGGACTGTGGAGTTTAAAGCTGTTCGCTCTAACGTCATCCAATGTCTGTCAGCCAAGAGGGAGCTGGCTCTTATAAAGATTCAGTTTTTTTCTGAATACTCCGCATGGTGATGGGCCACTGGATGTGGTAGGCAAGGCCACGAAGAAGTTTATGAACTCATTTGGGAACGGCTGTAACTTGTGAGCCAGGAGGGAATTAAGGCTCCCTTTTTTTTTTTTAATGTTCATTTATTTTTGCGAGACGGAGAGACAGAGTGCGAGCAGGGGAGGGGCAGAGACAGAGGGAGACACAGAATCGGAAGGGGGGCTCCAGGCTCCGAGCTGTCAGCACAGAGTCCGACGCGGGGCTCGAACTCACAAGCGGCGAGATCATGAATGAGCCGAGGTTGGACGCTCAACCGACTGAGCCACCCACGTGCCCCATGGCTCCATTATTTTTTTATCATCACACCACATAAGAGCCACAGTGAGGCTACCAAGTCTGTTGCTCGTCACTTCCCCCAGCCTGTCAATCCGTTTCCATGCAGGCCATACAGGCCGACTAGACGCTGCACTAATAACAATAACTGTGAGTACCTTTACTATTACCAGCGGCAGGAGCAGTATTGATGCTCTTACCTCTGTACCGTTACCATTTATATCATCAGTTGCTGCCTGATGAGTTGAAAAGCTCCAAAAAGCCCTCCGCATTCTACGAAGACCCCCTTCTTAACGCTAGAAATTCTACCAGGCTGATCACTGTCTTGCTGTCTTATCCCTTGGGTTTTGAAAATGAAATGCACTTGTTTCTGACATGAGGCAGTACTTTCAGTCCCACCTGCGTTCCAGTGAATTATTTTGCTTGACTGTTTCCTACTGACCTTGACAGATGGGTGCTGACGATCTCGTGGAATTTGGAGACAGAGAGAGAGAGAGAGGGGGAGAACTTTAGGAGCGGGGCACAGGGAGGGAGGCAAGGTGCTGAGGGCAGAGGCTAAGTTCATCAGAGAACAGACGGTACAGGTCCCCAGGTGGCCAGCCCCGTGGCAGGAAAGCCATTGTTCTGCAGTCGGACCGGCACTGGGTATCAGGAATGTCTGAAGCAGTGGCGGCCACAGAGAGGTCCCTGTGCATCTGTACCACAGGCTTCCTGGTTCCTCTGCCAGAGGGCAAGGTTTTTCACCTCTCAGAGTTGAAAGCTTATGAAGTCAGCACCAAGGGAACTTTGCAAGGTCTTTCTCCCATCTGGCAATTCCTCCAGGGTGCCTGCCTACACCTCCTCTTCCTGAAAAATCAAGGAAGTGACTAAACGTATCATGTGTCAACATTTTCAGCAGTCACCAGATGCCTTTCCCATTCTTGGGAGTATTTAAAGTGAAATACAAATGGGGCAGGTGAAATGTGCTTTGCAAATAGATGTGCTCAGGAAAAGGTGCATGGAAATTCATCATCGTTTTGTCTTTTTTTTTTTATAACTTAATATCGTCTGGTAGCAAAGGCTTTGTAAAATAGAGCCTTGCCACGCTGATGAGTAAAACCACATTTTACTTTAATGATTTTTTTTAGTTTAAAAAGGAACACATAAAACTGTCATTTCTTAAGGGAAGGACTGGATCTTGTTACATGAAGTTTCTAGACAAAAAGCAATCTTCTGCTTCAGAACAAACTCTGCCAGATCAGCTGACTCCAGCACTGGCTCATCAGGCATGGGAAAAATAGTTTTGCCAAGGTAAACACTGGTCTTGTGAAATCAGACCTGAGGTGAATCTTTTCCTTCTTTCTTTCTTTCTTTCTTTCTTTCTTTCTTTCT